AACTACCTGTTGGTTAGAATCATTATTCATATCACTCATGCAGATTAATGTACATTTATCATTTAAGAGAAAATATTTCGATGCAAAGCAACGATTATAAATGGTTATTTTATCTTACAAACTTGCGGAGGAATAATACAGAGTACATTTTTTATTTTGAATAACGTCTTGTCCGGCTATTTGGTTTACTATACAAGTATATAGAGCTATGGATTTAACAACTACATCAGGGTTTCGTTGAGATATTCGCCTTTGACCACTATATTCTGTACATTTCCCGGTACTGCAAAGCTTTTGACTGCCATTCACCTGGGAGTGGCCAGAAGTGATTCGTGTGCTTACGGTTCAAATCGCAGCTTACTACGTCCGGATATTTATATCCACGAATCCTCTGGGTAACGACCAAACACCCGTTTGGGAGCGGGCTACAGTGGGACGGTGTAAAACTCCGCGGGCGCTGGGTTTGGGTCCCGCCACGTTAAAACCCTGCCAATGAAAAAAAATATATGCCTCGGATTATACCCTCGTCTTTTAATGACGATGACGGCAAACGTAGGAAGGACTATGATTTGAGGGTGTTTACCTGGTATATTCGAACCCTTAATCGGGAAGGTGCGTCTGCCGGGCTGGTTGATGTCCTAGGGAAAATAAAGGCTGACATCACCGCCATCCAAGAAATGCGATTGACGGGGCAAGGAAAAATAAGCGAGGAGCCTTGGGACGTCTACTACAGTTGCCACGTAAAGGATCGCGAATTCGGTGTTGGACTTGTGGTGGGAGAGAGACTCAGTCGCCGAGTACCGGCGTTCACTCCATTCGACGAACGACTAGCCACAATCCGCATCAAAGCGAGATTCCTCAGCATCTCGCTCATATGTTCCAATGCCCCAATGGAAGAGAAGGACGAAGCATCCAAGGTTCACTTATATGAGCGCTTAGAGGGTACATACTAGCGCTGCCCCAAACACGTATAAACATCAGGGTTATTCTCTGAGTCTTGCAAAGCCCTGCATGGTGCACAGATTGCACGGATTGCACGGTTAAAACCGGTTTTCGTATGGGACAGCTTTGCAAACCGTCCAATCCGTGCACCGTGCAAGGGCTTTGCAAGACTCAGAGAATACCCCTATCGTGTTTGGCGATTTCAATGCCACGGTGGGCAATCTTTGGCGCCACTGTCGAAAAAACAGCATCCACGACGAAACGTGTGATAACGGGCTGAGGGTGATCGACTTCGACTTCCATCAGGCTACATGGCTGTCTCCAGATCAAAAAACGGGAAACCAAATCGAGCATGTTGTGATAGACACGGAAGGATCGCTTCCAGTGTTTAGATGTACATACGTACACTCCGAGGGCCAAACATCGACTCACACCACTATCTTGATGCAGCCAAGATACGCAGCCGCCTCGGTGCAGCAAAAAATATACGCCCAACAATGCAAGGAAAGCTCAACGTCTAAAGGTGCAATCAAAATAGACGGAAGTACCTCCTGTCAGCAAACAAACAATTAGCGTATTCGCCTTGGCACCCACGTCCTTGTTTACAGTTCTAATTTCGAGAAAGTGGAGAATTTCCTTTACTTGGGAACCATCATTAACATCGATAATGATGTCAGCAACGAAATTCAACGCAGAATCACTCTTGCCACCAAGTGCTACATCGGAAGTAAAGTCCTCTAGCCGTACAAAAATCTTACTCTATAAGTCACTCATCATGTCTGTGCTGGTTTATGAAGCGGACGCATGGACAATGAAAACATCTGATGAGGCGGCTCTTAGAGTTTTCGAGAGAAAGATTCTGCGAAATATGTATGGGCCTTACGCATTGGCGACGGAAAGTACCACAGACAATGGAACGTGAGCTGTATGAGCTTTACAATGTCATGAACATAGTGCAGCGAATATAAATACAACGGTCATGTCGTATGAATGGGCAAAAATGCTCCAGCCCCACTGCGATGGTAGGACCAAGCGGAGAAGGACTTGTCAACATTCGTTGCTTGAGCTTATCTGCTCTTTTGTCAGAGTGCCAGGCCACTTGCGCAATTTGGTGAATACCACTTATGTAACTTGAGGACTTAAAACAAAAACATTTGTGTAAATCCTTTTTGGGTAATAGCACTGTTTTAAAGTTTGCCGTTTCTCAAGTCCGGCTTCTATATTTTTTCATCTTTACTTTTGCTTTCATTTTGACTAATTCTGATAACAGTTAACTTGTTTATTTTAAACTTTATCACACATCAATTTAACTGAAATAGCACTTTTTAGCTTCTCCAGAATACTGGGAAGTCAAAGTAAGGCAACACATTAAAATTTTGTGTGTGTAATATGCATAAACAAAAGAATGTTGTAGGTTTTGAGGTTAAATATTTTTTAAGGGGCACTTAAATATAAAGGTTACAATGTTTTGCTTTAGAGCCTTGTATTAATCAAGAAATTGCACGTATTGGGGGTTGCGGTTACCGCGTACATACTGTAAATATTTTTCATCGGATAAACAGAAATTAATCCGAATTCTTCTTGTTTATTACAATATTAAATATTTTTTATGTTGCTTGGTGTTCTGTTTTCTTATCTTATTTTACTTTACTTCATCAGTTTAATTAACTTTTTTTAGTGTTTCTTATCTTATCGTATCTTATCGTATCATATCGTACCGTGTCGCGTTGTATCGTATCGTATCTTTTTATATCTTATTATATCATACCACATATTATCTTATCTCAGCTTAAATAAACTTAGCTTATGTTATCTTATCATAGTATATATCATATCATATCATATTATATCATATCATGTCATATCATATGTAATATTAGTTCATATAATATCGCATCGTCAGTGTTGTCATTTTCGTGCTTTTGGAGCTTGATTTAACCCTTCAGTTTTCTATTTAGCTCCGAAAATTGGGATTTAGCTCCTAGCTCTTTTCAGAATTATCTAGCACTTTTTCAGCTCCAGAAAGTTTTAGTTGTATTTAAGAATATATTAAAATTAAAAATCTTTAATTTCATTGTACAAGTGTTGACTAAAATTCATTTGGCTTTGGTGTTCTCAGGCTATTTTCGATACCTTCATGTTATTCTATTTCGATTAATACTTATAATAGTTCCATTCCTAATGCAAATGACGCGAAAGCAAATGGAAAATGGGCAAGTAAGGGCCAGTTTCATAATGAAACACTTAAAGTTCCTTTTGCAAAAGTTTCCTTTTAGTTAAAGTTTCATTTAAATTTACTTTAAACAAGAAGTGTTTTCATAATACAATTTCAATTGAGTAATAACAAAAGGTTCATTTAAATGGAAATAACAAAGGTGTAGTACTGATCTCGGCAAAATTACATCAGCTGATTGTCATAAATATGTAATTATAACTAAGAAAATTACATACTTTTTTTTTCTTACAAAAGGAACCTTTATGTCATTTAAATTTCCATTTTGGGTATTTAACTAAAGAGCCTTTATGGGCACCTTTACCTTTAAAGTGGCTGTATGAAATCGATCAGCAAAATAAAGCATCCTATAAATTTTGAAATTTTCTTTAATTTTATTATGAAATCGGCCCTAAGTCGATTAGAGTCTACCACGTGTGCGGAAGCACACAAACTATACCGGGCAGTAATTCGAACTTCGATAAGCTCTGACGGTGTATTCTCTCTCAGGCGGCCACGGTAGAAAAGGAAAGCCAAGACTTAAACTATGTTCACATTACCAACATAAAATACTTAGTTTCGTTTAAAATACCTCACTAAATTAAGTGCGTTCATACACGCGATTCTTTATTTGTCTTGACAGCTTTGTAGCAACCCTGTGTTATTGTTTATTTAACCAAAAGAGATCGCGAATGTGAGTAATTGCGTATATTTTTATATTCTGAGTTGTTTGTGGTAATTTTTTAGATTTTAGATGAGTGATCAAAAGAGAAAGCTTTTGGAAATATTTTACAAACTACCACGCGCGATTATTAAAAACAAAAACGTCCAAACACAATGACATATCAGTTGTGGGACAATACTTTTTTCGATTATTATCGATAAAATTAGAGCCGACACTGATTTGTTCGTGATTTGGTTCTTGGTTTAACATAAACTACGTACTTTCAACTAAATTTACTGAGAGACTTTACAAGGCGAAAATACTTACTTTGTACTTAATTTATGCGTAAATTAAGATTGACCTCTAAATTACGCCAATGGGAACATAGTTTTAAGCGTTGCCAAAATTGCAAAATTTCGAAATACAATGGAAAAACATACATTTGTATTCACTGGAAAATACAGACTCCACCAGATCTATTTTAAAGAATCCCGAAATTAATTAGAAGAAAATCCTTTTTCTGTACGCGCGATTTTTGTTTTTACCTTACAGAGAGAAGGAAATAAAAGTTTTCAGATTTTTTTTATGGTCAATTAAAATATCTGAAATTGCAGATTTTAAGAGTTTGTAAAGTATTTTTAGTTCATCGTCTAGTTTATATGTATAATTATATGCATACAAATAAATGTTATAAGTGCCGTAGCAATCAATTCGAAATATATGAGCT